TGACCATCAGCTTATCAAAGGCCGCCAGAGGACAGAGTTACGAAAGCCACGGCCGCCTCAGTGTCCACGAAGACGAACCGTTCGTGCGGGCGGGGATCGTTGAGACCCTCAACTGTCGTACCGCGGGCAGCCGCCCCCCGGCCGTGGTATCGTGGTGGCGAGATGGCCAGCACCTCGTGGACAACGCCGTGCAGGTTCGTTAAAATAAAATTAAATTTTTTCCTTGTGCCATATAGTCATTAAGGCTCAGTTAGGCAGGTTAGTCAAAATAAAATTAAATTTTTTTTCTTGCGCGATTCATTCAAGATCAGTTAGGCCTGGCATAAGGGCGTATCAGTGCTACGTGTAGAAAGTGTGCCACTGTTTGGACAAATGTGGACTGCACTCATAGTAAAAAATGTACATCGGTACTCACTGAAGTAAGTGACAGAGAGCGCATTTTCTCGTCGGCGAAAACTTTAAGTCACGGACAGACAGACAGACGGACAGACAGACAGACAGACAGACAGACGGACGAACAGACGGACATGGAGATGTCAATAGCGCTTTTTATCCATATATGAGAAAATGCGCTAAAAAGCGTCAATGGGTCGGATTTGTTTTACAATTTGACGCAGTAAGTTTTGGCTCTTGCTCTCTCCTGCGAGAGAACGCTGGTCGGGAACAGACGTAAACACGGAAACAAATTCATACTGTGCTGTGAGTTGCATTTTTCGAGTTTGAGTAACAAGCAAATTTTAAAATATGATGGGGATAAATATTATTGCTTGTCAAATCAAGATTATCGAGGCATACAATATTTTCTACTTTTTAAAACCCTTCTTAGTTCAGGTAACATTTGGCAATCATTTGCATTATTATTCAGTAACTAATTAGGCAATAAATCTTACCAATGCTATTACGAGCAGAAAAGTTACAAAAGCTCGAAATGCAAATCTTTTCTTCATACCATGCTCCAGTGGCAAAAGATGTAATCGAATTATTTTAAGTTCAAATTAAAAATTCAGTAAAGAATAAATATTTTAGGAGGATTAAAGTGCTCATCGATAATAGCACATATATAGTTTTGTAATTAACCATATTGTAGCTGCTCGGTTTTCGATTAATTTTCTGACGAGCACAGCACGGAGTGAAAATATTCTTGTTCTGAACTTTCTCACTTTAACAAAAATTCTTGTTTCCGGCAAGATAAAATGAAAATAAGTTAAAAATTTATTTGTCTATTCAATCTATGCTACGTTGATTAAGCCAGGGGACTTGAAAGGTTCACAGGACTTGCTCATTTTTTATTGCCAAGTTTCTCCATTATCTGTGAGGAAGAACAGAGCTGAAGGGTAAGAGCTTACACATTTCTTGGGGAGCAATTACCCTAACGAAATTCCCGGACCGTCAGGGCTGAGCCCAAACGTCGATGAGCTCGGTTTAAATTTATACTGGGTTTGCTAGGCCACTCGATCGAAAAAGAACATCATTTCCGACTTTATTGTTGAGTGAAAGTCTGATAAACTTTGGCCTTATTGTATCCTGAGGTATGACTCGACTATGACTCGGCCAAGTCGAGTCATACCGAGCATGCAGGGGTCACTGAGGCCACCCTTAGAATCCTAAGCCGAAATAGACGTAGCGCTGCTGATTTAAGCGTCCTGAGTCATACGCAGCGCCTATTGCAGAGTCTGGTCCGCATTTAAACTTTGTTAGGGTTTAAGGAGCTACTATTTTCGTACTCCTGGCTTGCACAAGAGTTCCAACATTTCTTGGGAGCAATCAAGCAGCTTCTGCTCACAGTCCCTGTTCCTCATTTAATGAGGGCTGAACAAAGATCGTTTCATTATGAAGCGACGCAACAACTTCTATTGCTGTTGCACGAGGGTAAATCTTAAATGGTTTGGTCCAAACATTTCCCTCGACTGTCGACGAGCAGTTCTTTCCATAATCCTGCACCACATAACTTTTTAAATAAAATGGAAAACTTATTCAGAGGTTTATATCATTTTAAGTCTATATAGGATGGCAAAATTCGTTACTTTAAGCAGGTTTCATTAAAGACCAGCGACCGCGAAGACTCACAACGACAAATCAGAGACTAACGCAAACGTCAGAACCATCTATTACGCGAATCAAACGACCAGCGGTTATAAAGCAGATGAACGGATCAGCCAATCCATCGTTCGCAACAACATCGGAAGCGTAACTATAAATAAAATGAAACTACAGATGTATCATATAAAAAGAAAATACAGAATCTTGCAATGAATAATAACCTCTGTAAAAGTTTTCAAGGGACATATGTGGTCTCTCTGAGTTTTTCAAGGGACAAATGTGGTCTGTAAATATTCCTGCTATAGAGAAGGTTGTAGACTTCTTCCTAATATGAACTACATCGGGCCCACAACTACGACATTAAGCCGACATGCCACCTTCAGTCTGGTGGACCAAAGAACCACCTGACGGAAGCCCACAACGAGACCATCACTCGTACGGTGCTGGAGGAGTGCACCAGCGTCGTCATGAGATGCCCCGACGCCAACCAAATCGCGATAGCTGAGGCCCTCATCATTAAGGAAAGGACCCCAGCCATCAACCTTCAAACTGCTGGATTTATCGAAACCTCGAAACTGTTTCAGAGCAATTTTAGTTGCTTTCATTCTTGATTATCTTCATATTTTCGTGCTTTGGCAATTTCTAACAAAATTGTTTTTTGAGTAGTATCCTATTTACATGATTTTGTACTTCTTTCGATCCAAGTTACCACGTTTTTCTTAGTTTCGCTTCGTCTCAGTCTGTCATCAAAAATTCAAACCTTAATTTAGAGCACTTCTGAAGATCCTAGGAACTTGAATTTGGCATGCATGCTTATGCTGCCTAACAATTCAAGATTTGATCATCAGAAGTACTAATTTAAATTTTTGTATAAATAAAAAACATAAAAAATGAAAAAACCTAAAAATTGACGGTTGGTTGGGAATCAAGTTTTTTTTTTTGTCGAACATCCAGAATTGCCAACCCTGGAAAATGATTTGAATTGCTAAAATTGCTAAACTAAATAGTAGAAAATAAAATAAATAAATAAATTTAAAAAAACAAGTTTTCTTAACGGAAAAAAAAGGAAAATATTAACTCTTACATAACATTAAAGTTATTTAGAATGTTATGTAAGAGTTAGTTAATGTTTTACTTTTTTGTTCGTTAAGAAAACGTGGTTTTTAAAAGTTTTTTTTTTATTTATTTTATTTCATCACTCAATGCATCTTGTAACGTGATAATGAATGATTGATACATTCAAAACGTTGTTAACGAAGTAAAAATATACATCGGTACCTTGCTTTTCGATTTACAAACGAAAAATATAGTCCGATATATTGAAAAAAACTTATAAGAAAATTGTCAATAAAACCAATTCTTTGATCTTCAATGAAATCATGCATCGAAAATTGGTGTAATTCGGCAGAAGATTTTCTAATATACAATTAAAAAATCAGATGATTGTTTATAAAAAGCATGCTCTGGTCTTCAATCAAACTTAGATAAAGAAATGAATCGGGAATCATTTTAAAATTTCTGACATCGTCGAATGACCTCTAACGTATAAGGAATGCTGGGTCAAAAGAGTGAAAATCAAATGCATATGGAGCTCAATAGTTCAATAATTTATAGCAGTCGTGCAGGAAGAGGATATTGAATGATCGAAACGAACATATTTCCTAAAATCTTTACATTCTAAAAAATAAACATAAAATAATTCATTTATCCATTGTAAAAGATAAGTCAGTGGGAGACATTTTTATTCGTCAAACAACTACGATTTCCTTCGACGTCCACGACGAGTTAAATAGAAGCCTGACTTCAATCACGACGTTATCAAGACTTCTCTATTAGCGCAGGCTGTTCAATGGCAGCAGCTTGCAGGCTCTGTGCGATTTTATGTTCATTGCTAGGGCGTTCTAATTTCCATAAATGATTGCGTAAACAAGCGCTAGTGATTGGAAGTGCCTCCAGTAAAACAACAATAATTTTATGAGACTCAGTTAAAACTTTCCTCAGCTTTAAATTAATATCGACGGAATCAAGATGGCGAGAGGAAACATTCTTTCAATTCTCCTGAATTTTCATTATGTTGAGTGCGGTGTCTGAGATGAAAGTAACTATGTTAGAAATTATATAAACATCTTGAATGATGATGTTTCTGCAGGAAAACTGTATCTGTATCGGGTTATACGCTTGAATCCGAAATTTTCCTTGAAACTACATTATACAGGCATTCATTCTTCCTACATGATAATATTTCTCTTATTACTATGATGTTGTGCAGAATTTTATCGCAGAAATGCGTACTATATTTCCTTATCTCGACACATTTTCATATATTTTACACACATCTTTCAAACATTATCTTCTTCATTTCCATAAAAATTTCTCTCGTTTTCAATGGTTGCATTTTCTTGCGTCATCAATATATTTTTAATCAATATATGTATATATTCATAAAATCGATTTCGTTATTTTGAAACAGTTTATCCACAATTGAATCAAATTTTCGAACTTTTTCGTTTGCATATCACTCATTAGTCAATAAAATATAAATTAATATAATATGATTCCTAATTAATATTTTAGAGCATGGAGCGTCAATAACTAAAGATTTTGGATATTATGTTGAAAGGAGTGATACTGGCATCGCTTGGAGAGATGTCTAACGTAATGAAGAATATCAGGAAAACCTGAAAATGTCATGATTTGAGAAATAAAACATGTAATTGACTAATGGAAATATAACTGTAACATGTAACTGACTTATGGAAATGTAACTAAACATGTAACTGACTTATGGAAATGTAACTAAAACATGTAATTTGACTATGACTAATGAAAATATAACTATAACATGTAACTGACTTATGGGAATGTAACTAAAACATGTAGATGACTTATGGATATTCAAAAGTCAAATTTAAATTTCGTATCAATTCTAGCATAGAGAGCAAATTAAAGATGATTCCATTATGAGCAGACCTGGTCTTCACTACCAGTATCGCCACCGCGTTCATAACCAAGTTACTTGAAATGAAAATTTGTACAAGAAAAACATGCATATGCTAAAGTTGCAGGCAAAAATTCGCTCAAAACGGCATGTTGATAACGTTTACAATGTTTACGCTCAATGTTGACAACGTTTGCAGGATGAATTAATAGCTCTGTCAAATAAATCAGATATTTTATTGTGACAATACTTGACGTCAATTGGTGTAATGAGAAAGTTCTCCACGGTCCCAAATTCTTATGCGAGTATTAGTAATAATAATCAACTTCATATACGTATATATAAATTAATGCAACAATAAACGTTTATCGACAAATGAGAATGAACCTGTACGTGCATGAGAGTTCACGTGCCATCTCATCAGAAAAACAAAAATTACCTTACCAAAATTTATTTTTTTTATAAATATGTTCATGTATAATTCGATAAATATATTGTAAGTTTGATATAAGTTCCAGGAACTTTACTTACACATTGTTTGTTTGAATTTACCATAATGCTCCACACAGAAGTTTCAATTGCGTACGCGAGGGCCACTTGGCAGCGTTGCATGCACCTAATGCACCTCTTCTTGGCGCTCCACGAGTCTTTCATAGACTTTAATTCAGGGGAACAAGGCAGTCATCAAACGAGCTGCGCAAAACCTTTCATGTTTGCATATTCAGAGTTATTTATTTGTTCATATTAATGCAGTTTTTTTATTGCAACGTTATTTGCTGCATTTGACTGTTCAGTGTGCAGCAGTACAAGCATTTTGGTTCAGAAGGAAAATTTATATGATTTATACTGCGGTACAAATCACATCCATTTTGCTCGGAATCAAAATAATGAGGCAGGATTTATAAGGAGATGATATCATAAAATTCCCTTTATGAACAATATTTTTATCCTAGTTTGTTTGTTTATTCCTTTGCGGGTTTATGGAATTAAATCTATTCATGAAAATTGAGAAGGGAAGAGAAAGGATTTAATATACTTTAAAATGGAGAATGCAATTAATTTTCACTTTACAAAAGTTTTGTAAAGATTAGGCGCATCATACAAATATGAAATTTTCTTCGTTCATAAGGCATTTGCATATTCATGCTACCTAATACATACCCATTAAGTTTCGATTTGCATTTATTTCCTTACTTTTCGACAGGTAAAGTATTGGCATCTATCCAATCTAAATAAATCCTTTGAAGAATCGCTTCACTGAAGCTCGGCCTGCTGATCGCTTAGGATGATTTGATGTATCACAGATCCACTTCGATAGTGGATCTGACTGCTTCAACCACTCCGCCAAGATCCCTCATATCAACTAAAATTTCTTGCAATGAAATCAAACCTACATTCAGGGGGATTTTTTTTATCGTCTGGTATTAGTGAATGAATTGTATTTCGTGTGTTCATGAGGAGACAATCTATTTTTATTAAAAGAGTCTGACGGAACCCAATTTTACGATGTGCATTAACATTCGGCTGGTCAATAGCGACTATAATAATTTAATGAATGAAAGATATTATCTTAAGTCATCGGAATTAAAATTAGTATGTAATAAAAATACTAAACTTAAATTCGACAATCACTTGATCATAATGAAATTGTCCAATATATTAATCAAGTGACAATACTTGGTGCAGGTGGTGGAACCGAACCTAACGACATCGAGCCTGAGCCTGAAACCTTCCCCCGCCGACCAGGACGTCGTGATCACCTGTCGTGTTGAGAATCCTGCCATCCCTGGCTCCGTCATGGAGGAGTCCTACAAGCTGAACGTGCATTGTGAGTTATGGAGGAGTCCTACAAGCTGAACGTGCATTGTGAGTTATGGAGGAGTCCTACAAGCTGAACGTGCATTGTGAGTTATGGAGGAGTGCTACAAGCTGAACGTGCATTGTGAGTTATGGAAGAGTGCTACAAGCTGAACGTGTATAATGCGTGATTTTTTAGACTTTATTGAGCTAGAAAAGGGCGGAGGGGAACTCATAACTGTTCATTAAAGTTTTATTTCTATTTCAGAAAAAGCGATGTATGTGATTTAGGTCAAGATGCGGTAAAAATAAATGGTATTTGTACTGAGGTGCCAATAGATAGTGGTCGACATGGCGCGGTCCTAGTTAGAAATTCAGGACTTAATAAATAGTAGGCGAGTGGGTTCTGAAATAACAAATAAAACGTGAGAAATAACATGAGAAACTTTTCTGGGCGAATCACCGTTTTAGCATTGAATCATTTAATTTTCAATTTTCTTCAAACCTGTGGGTATCAAATTTAGTTTGACGCTTTCGACTCAAGTGTGAGTCCATCTATCTTTCGTATTTAGGGCTGCTTAGCTGATATTAACTTAATTTCATACGATACAAATCTTGATATCATCGTGATGTTCACAACCTGCCATTTTTATAATTAAATAATTCAATTGCAGTTAATTATAATACGAATAATTTAATTAATTACTTGTTTATTATTTGATTATATTAATAAACATAATTATTGTAAAAAATTATTTATTTATTTTATTACATGGTCGAGGGTTTTTTCTTGGCCTGCCGACTCTCATTCTGCCTATAATTTTTGGAATATCATGAAATTCAGTCATAATTCACGTGTGCTGCGGCAAGAACATGAATAGCGAGGCCACTTCCCAAGATAGTAACAACTTTTCTTGACGAATGTTTATAGTTCCTATGTTATCGTCCAGTTCAGAGGAGAAAGGCAAGGAAATGACAAGGATGTTATAAAGCGATTGCATAACAACAGGATGTTATGCAATAGCCTATTGTACGGAAAAATAAGTCGTATTTACATTTCAGGCGAGTGTGGTTTCACAATACATAGGTTTGTATGGACGCTTAAATAGAACAATGTTTTTTAATGCACTTACGTAACTAGTTTAATTAACGTATGTGATAAATTCTGAGCCTACATATAACATTTGTCTCATCCTATGTTTTACAAATGAAATGAGGAATAATATTTTGGCCTTTTATGCGATTAATTTGGCGTTTGCTGATGGTTCCTAGAGAAATTCCTGAAAGATGTACGCTATAATTCCATAACTAGTTTCAATATTTTGAATAAAGCTTGTAACAATTATTTAACCTTTCATCTACAATTTTTCAGGCTTTGCTGAAATAATTTAATCAGTAGTAATAAAAAAGGAAGAAGTAATCATGTAAAATGAGATAATCAGATATGGCATAAATGCTGGGATATTATTTATTGACACGATCCTTAAATTTGTTCAATCTGAAATGCGTTTTAATTTAACGTACAAATTCAATTTAACCAACACTGGAATTGCACGAACGTCAAATCTACTAATTCAAAGACTGAAAGAAAGTTTATGAAACTCGTAAGAATTCGGGTATTTATTCTTAATTTCTAACGATTTACTTTTGCATTTATGTTTTCTTTTTCCTAATTTTGTTTTGCTTCAAAGAAGCAATGTATAGGAAAAGCAGAGAAGAGTTAAATTGACCACCACCATTTTACGATGTTCAATCAATGTCGTAAATTTACGTATAGTTATTTTAGTGGAATTTATGTTGAAGTAACACTTAATTACAAGTATTATTCTATATGGTCATTAGCTGGTAGTTTCTAGAGATAATTTTCCTTTATTTCAGTTACCAATCAGGAGAAGTATATATTTTTGTAGCATATATCAAGTATCAAATTTAAATGAATCAGTTTTATAAAGAACTTCATAATTATTAAACAATCTTGTATTACAAACTGACTCGGCTTATCCATTCCCCGTTTGAAAATTATCTTCGTGAAACCATTTAGAGAATTATTTACTTGCATTATCATTTATCCTGAACTATTTTGGCTGCTTGCCAGAATATAATAGATTATAGGGGTTAGCGCTGCAAGACGTCGGCAGAGTTTCGTGTCCAATGTTGTACCCACGCCATATTACATGTAACTTTCCTCCCTAAATTGCCTTGTAACGAACACAGTGCAGCTAGTTAGCTAGGCAGCCGCTGGTTATGAAGAGTCTACAACGATCACTATATTTTATATATAGTTTACAAATACATAAGCTGCTGATGAAATTTATACGGCATAGCTATGCACTAAATTGTAGTACTGTTTTTTTTTGTAGTTTCTTCATACTTAAATTTTGATTATTCTGGTTATCTGGTCGCCCAATTGACGGAAAATAACTATTAAACGTAACTCCTTAATCATCAACATATTTTCTGTGTTCGCCATGAATGATTGTGTAAAGTATAGCGCATAATAGGTCATTCTTGAAAGACATGCACTTTAATGTTAAATATTTGATTACAAACTAAACCTTGAACTACTTCAAAATTTTTGCAACGCACATTGTACACAACATGTTTTTCTGAGGGATAATTAATTTTCCTTTTGAGGTACAATATTAAATTATTGCTCAACAAAGTACTTTCAATATGTCAGTCCACATCTCATTTTCTTGAGATTTAATATATTTTGGTCGTAGCTAGAGCAAGCCGTGCCTAGGATACAACGAAACTTTATTTCGTCGAGAATAATCTGACAAATTTCTTTGCACTACAAACAAGATTAAATTTAGATTTTAACAATTTTCGTTATTAGCAGTTGATAATTCTATGAGAAGAAAATTGACTTATCAGTACTGAATATAACTGTTGCAGAGAAGTCAATCAAATCTACCTTCGACTAGGAATCAGTTTATTTTAAATATTTTTACTGCTACTCGGAGTGACATCCCCCGTTCCATGTAGATCCTCCTATCACGACGCTGCGGGTGGGGCTGAGGCTGAACCCCGGCAGCGTCAGGGAAGGTTCCGACGTCTTCTTTGAGTGCAGCATACAAGCCAACCCCCACACGACCAGCATGTTCTTCCTGCACATGGTGGGTGATGTTCAGGCCACACGACCAGCATGTTCTTCCTGCACATGGTGGGTGACATGAAGGCCACACGACCAGCATGTTCTTCCTGCACATGGTGGGTGACATGAAGGCCACATGAACAGCATGCTCTTCCTGCACATGGTGGGTGACATTCTGGCCACATGACCAGCATGTTTTTCCTGCACATGGTGGGTGACATTCTGGCCACACGACCAGCATGTTCTTTCTCCACAAGAAGAAAACCCCGCATTAATGTCTGTTCGGTTCCCTCACATGTATTTCCATTCAACCCGGAAAAAACATCAGCTTATTTGATTGCTTTCAACCTGGCTTTTGACGTTCCGTTTAATACATGTTCATTTAATCATAAATATGGATCATTCCACTTCGCATTGCTGAATCGCTATGTTGTAAGCCTGACGCTCCTTTAAAAAGACCAATCATGAGTTGCTGTTTCGTAAGGACTCAATTGAAGCGGTTAAAACACACTGTTCATGATGAGGACTTAATATGCGTAAATACTTGACTACATTTGCACACATCTCTGTCCCGCAGAACGAGACGATCCGACACAACGTCTCTGCCCGAGTGATCGTGTCCAACCAGACGCTGGTGCTGCAGAGCGTCTCTCGCCAGCAGACCGGCCCCTACCGCTGCGGTGCGCGCAACGCCGTTGGTCTCGGAGTTAGCGAGCCCGTGCTGCTGCGCGTTCTTTGTGAGTCCCGCAGGAGAAATTACCAGTGAAACAGATTTGAATAAATAAGTTAGAAATATTTATAATATTTGGTTTCATAATAATTTTATTAATATTAAGCACTCGACTTTGCGAAGACAATTATACATAGTTTTCGTTTTCACGTCTAGGTACCTATGCCATGCAATTATAGTTCGTACATAGTTTTGCCAGCCATCTCTCGGGATACGTTGAATCTCAGTCAAAGCTGCAAAAAAGAAAATTATGTAAATGAGAGTCACGGTTCTACGGTTCAGTGTGAAAGGAAGATGACGAATCTAGGCATCAGAAAATAAAATCATATCTGCACCATTTCACCTATGTAAAAATGTAATATTTATAAATACGAACCAAAATTGAGCATTAAATCAGAAAGTATCCAAATATCTCGCGACCTTCCATAATATTGCCATAAAAAGCAAATAAAATTCAATAAAGTCAGTATGATATTTTACTCTTCGTTTACTTCGCGACGGTGGCGTTATTTCCTTCTCACTTCTACTCCTCGATGGCATTAAGAGATCGACTCAGACAAGCCAATTACGGAGCTGCGGGCTTCATATAAGCAATTAAACTCGTCGCTGAAACTTGCATGATCTGCTGAGCTCTCACGCGCGCGTCTGTCTTCAATCAAGCGCTGTTTCAACAAGTCTCTGTTCAAATGTCACCAAGTTTGTTCTTATTTAGGAGCCATTACTGATAAACCGAACTGTGCCATAGGTAGGCTAGTTACCCATACGTGTTGTTGAACCTGGTATTTGATGCCAGTTTGATACAGAAACTGCATCCAAATGTACTTGAATTATATGTTGTCTTCTACATGCAATGCAGTATACATGCTCGTGTAAATGTAATACTTTATACATTTTTGCGTATATGCATTGCTATATACAAACTATTGTATATGCAAAGCTTTATACATGTCTGTGTACATGCAAAGCTTTATACATGTTAGTGTGCATGCATTGCTGTATATAAACAATGTACATGCAAAGCTTCATACATGTCTGTGTACATGCAATGCTGTGTAACTGTCATGCCGCACCTCATCAGTTGTATTGAGTCTGAAATGAAAGCTTTGGGAGCTGGAGCGTCTTCAAGTTTGTTCGAGTGCCTCGCTATGAGGGAACCAAGTATTGAAATCAATTACGTGAGTGCGTGTCCAAGTTTTCTTCAACCGAACGTGCAAGTTGAATGGGACACAAGTAATTAGTTGATCGAAAAAGTGAAAATAGGAGTAGATTGGATTTATGGAATTATTCGTCTAGATAAGTGAGAGGTAATTATTTATTCATATAGAGGATAGTTAATGCAAATACTGTTAAACAGCTTGCATAAACATCTCGGAGCTCATGAACTTTGGTTGTTGTTTCGAGCAAAAAAGTACACGACGAGGAAGTCTTCTCGGTCGTGTACATGAGCACGGCCGGCTTAAATATAATTGGACCGTAAATTGCAGATGAAAAATAAAGAGCAGTTAAGAGCAAGCACCAACAATAGCAGCTTTTGAGCACTGAGCGTAATGAAGTCATTCATGATGACTAATGTGGCACAATATTTCAACAATTAAAATTACTCGGAGCTTCGCAAACATTTTCTGGAGGAACTTGAAGTAAGAAACATGTTGTAAACAAATGTTGTAATTGAGCGAAAATTCTAAAGACAGGAGGAAAAACTTAATAATAATATACATTTCCGTGTCTTTTACTTCTAAATTTATCGTCTATTTATTTTAGCATCCTTAACCGGTTTTTCTGACCTGCGAAATCTGGGGTCCCTGTATATTTTTATTCTAAAGCCTAGTTTAAATGCCGCTTAAAGTTGATATCCCCCAAAATTGTAAATAGATAGGTTTATTTGCTCATGTTTACCTCATTCTTATTTATTTTTATTCGCCAATGTATGTTTTTTAATTTCTTCAATGTGAATTTTAGCTTGCTAATTATTTGTACATGTGTTTTAGGTATTTGTATACTGACGATGGAGCTGGACTCCAAAACGTTTTCTCTCATAAAAAATGGTGATTTATTTGGCTGTTTTCTTTGCTTCTAAATTTTAGATTAATTTGCTGATATGAAAATTGGTAACAGGGAGATCTTGGATAATATATAATAGGTACAGTAATAATAACTTTGGCAATGTGGCCTCACCTGCAGTGAGGATCAACAAAAAGATGATGACCAAGTAATCACTTCGAAAACTACGTATCATATTTAAGCATTGCTGCCCAGCTAGGGAGAAAGTTAAAATTTCCTCAAAAATAGAAATTGTAAATTTTAATACTCTTTAATATCACTCAAAATTTTCCAACCATGTTCGTGGTAGGATTTTAGAAATCCTGGGAAATGAAGGCTGTGTGGACATGGTGGACGTTTTGTATAATTGGGCTCCGTGATAGCTTGCTGGCCTCCAACTAAAACTTTCCGCTGCCCCAGCCCTCGCTTTTTATTTTGCCTTTCATCCAAGTTTATATTTCCTCAGTTGCTCCCTCGTTTTTTCTAAAATGTTCTCCTAAATTTTCGCTGAAACTATTCCGTTAAAAAACGTGAATTAGAATGCATTTTGATTGTTTTATTTTTTTTCAATTTAGATATATAAAGCCTATGATGGTTATCTAATATATAGGAAAAATTGTTTATGCTGGTAGCCATATGAGATTTCAACAAAAAAATTATATGCTTGATTTTAGTAATCAGTAAGTAAAATTGATGAGGGCATATGCAACATTAATTTCGTAGTCATGATAATTTAGTTAAGTTAGGCATAAACGAATTACTTTTTCCTGTGATCTGCAACCATCTGTGATGGTTTATTATGTTAAGCTCTCATGTTAGGCTCTGGTTTGAAAATTATCCAATTGAGTTGAACTACTTATTCATGGATGCTATAGAAAGCTGCGGTCCAAAGGCTCGCATCATTTCACGTTAAACTCTAATTATATGAGTTCATCAGATAAACTTGAATTTTTGTTCTTTTATAGCTCTGATTTGTCTTCTTTAACTTGATAGCTTTAACATTGACTTTAACTGGATAATATATTTTACTACAATTTGTGACTTACTCAAAAATACGTTCCCTCAATATTCACTAAAATTCACTTTGAGTAATTTTCGCAACATTGATGGCATGCTTTAAAAAAATAATATAACTGTTTTTTGACCTTGTTGTATCGCTCCAAATGGACGAATTACGCATATTTAATAATACAATTTTCATTTGATCACAGACGCCCCCGTTTGTGCACCGGGTCAGAAAGTTGACTACGAAGTCTTGCGTTACCGAACCGCGAACGTTTCGTGCACCGTGGACGCACAGCCCAACAACGTTACGTTCACGTGGCTTTATAACAATACGGGCACGTTACTGGATGTCGGAGAAGGACGTTCCACGTCACACAACAACGTCAGTATTTTGCACTACACGCCGACGTCTCCATCAGACTACGGGACTCTGCTTTGCTCAGCTAAGAACGTCATCGGGGAGCAGCAAGAACCATGCGTTATCAGCGTGACTGCATCCAGTGAGTCGCTGGGCTTTAAATGTACAAATTCAAAATTTATGAACAAATTTAATGTACAAAGCCCATTAAAAAATGCTAATGACTTGAAGCACATAAGACCTTTCTCGATTGATATCTGAAATGGACATAGAAATTGATAACTTTAATTCATTGCACAACTCAAGTATTTTTAAATAACGCTTCACGCTACTTCTGTTTAAACCTGGTCGCTTATGGTCTCAGCGTGGAGATTTAAAAAAGATAATGGGATGGAAAGTAATAATTTTTCACGTCTGTGTTTACAAATTTTACTTTGATTCTTGAGCACAATAGTAGACGCAACAGATGAAAGTCGGTAGCTGTAGCTCCGACAATTGTCAGCTGTTATCTTCGTCATGAGTTACGTAAAATGAGCCTATGAAAAAAAGATGATTGTAAAATGAGCCTATGAAAAAAAAGGTTAAGGTTGAGAATTTTTATTGAATATGTACTAATACTGCTCACTCAAAACGTCATTTATTAGATCATGTGGACGAGGAATTGACTATAGAACAAATAGTGTGATTTAAAGTTATTTTGTTTTTTATACCTTATCTCTTTATTACAATAACTGTTATTACTCGTGTCCGTCTGAACTCCCGCAGCGGTATTCAACTGTATCAATGTATTGTGTCCCTACATATCATATTGGATTATATTTATTGTATTGTATCTTTGTATTGTATTTTATTTTATCATTATTAACTCGAATCCCGCAGAACTGCCGGAGCTGGTATTCAATGGCATCAATGTATTGTATCACTACATATCATATCGGACTATATATATTGTATTATTTCATTGTATTGTATTATATTGTATTTTATCATTACTAACTCGTATCCCGCAGAACTGCCTGAGCTGGTATCAGACTGCAGGCTGCGAGCGCAGACTAGCACTGCTGTGATCGTGACGTGCGTCAGCCTGCCCAGCGAGCTCCCCACCGCCTACTACATGGAGGTACTGCACTGAACTCTTCAAAAACATGTCGTTCATAAGTAATTTTAAAAAGTATGGTTTATAAGGTAAGTGAAGAAAATCTATCAATATTTCTATACGTATACATGAAACATCGATGCCAGATCAGTGATTTTCAGGGATTCTAAGAAATGAATCACTCTCGTCCTACTGATTTGAATATACATAGAAAGTTTCACTAATTAACCAACTAGTGATGAAAGCTGTTTGAACATCTCCTGGTATTTTTTCGTACATTAATAATGATGCGTCCAATTGCGATAACCTGTGCAGTTTGTGCTTTACTGAGAAATACCATGCATAGAGCATATTGCCTGGTTTTCATTTTACTTCTTAACTATTTTTAGCGCATTTTTTCATTTATGGAAAAAAGACACTATTGTGCTCGTCATGTCCGTCCGTCTGTCTGTCCGTCTGTCTGTCTGTCCGTCCGTGACTTCACGTTTTCGTCGACGAGAAAATGCGCTCTGTGTCACTCACTGCAGTGAGTACTGAGTTATATTTTTTCTCTTTACGGTTCCTCAACAAAGACCTAATTATTTTGTACAAAGAATTTTAAATCTAGAACTGCAATTGTGAGGCGATCACTTGTTTGTTCAGGTGCGTCACTTCGAGGAGCTGCAGTTCGTGAAGCGCGTGTCGAACTCGACGCCGTACTTCGTGGCGGACGGGCTGGCCCCAGGCACGGACTACACGCTACACGTGTCCGTCGTCAGCCCCATGGGCAACTCGACGCCCATAGAGCTGCAGGCCTTCACCATCAAGACGGCAGAGAAGAGGATGGGTGAGTCCTCCTAACTCCGCTGTCCAATAGAGCTGCAGGCCTTCACCATCAAGACGGCCGAGAAGAGGATGGGTGAGTCCTCCTTACTCCGCTGTCCAATAGAGCTGCAGGCCTTCACCATCAAGACGGCAGAGGCAATGGGTGAGTCCTCCTAACTCTGCTGTCCAATAGAGCTGCAGGCCTTCACCATCAAGATGATGACCAGCACTAAAAGATTTATCATTTAAACAGTCTTAAAAAATGTTTCATCCTCACTGAGCGATAATAAAAAATTAGATACTCCTGATCAATTTGCACCCATTCATAATTATAATTTAGGCGATGAACTGGATGGAACCTAATTTAGCTTTAAAATGAAAGTATGGGAGACCATATTAATAGACCTTCTGTGGTCTTTTGCTCAATACGTTAATAAAAAAACTAATAAAAATAGATTAATAGGCAATAAATAGTAAATGATCCAAAACCCAGAATAAACCTATTAGTAATATACGCGATTAGCATGATCAATTTTTATTTTATTTCATTTCATCTGACGAAGACATTCAGCTTCCAGTATTCTTGTTCGAGGCTTTTGCTCAGCAAGGAATGAGACGTCATCTGCAGATCTCTCACGATCCACGACCGCCAGGCAGACGAATGCGATCACGCATCTCTTACATCAGGCTGATTCTAGTGAATGATTTGCCAGACAAGTGCGCATGGCACTTCCAATGCATGTAAAGAAGCTCCCTTCAAGATGAATGTACGCAGACGGCTCATCTGGTATCACCAAAATTCAACTCAAAACAAGACGATCGAGACCGAACCTAAAGATGAACTTTTCGTTCCGCTTGGTCACATTTTTGAAGTACTTCTGGTTATTAGAATGCTGATGTCATGGAAATTAGCGACTTAGTTTGCGTGAAAATTCTTACTCATGTGCAGGTTTACTCATGATTTACTTATGATTCGGAGACGTGTGACTTTTTAATGTACAACGATTAATAATATTTATTCATTATTTTAGGTCAATTTCCACAGTTGAATGAAAAGTGGACAAATTTAATGACTAAAACTAACTGCTGGAAGTTATCCAGGAAAGTTTTCAGAGCACTTTTAACATGACTTATGAGACAACAACGTAACATGAGCTCGACCTCACTAATCAACAGACATTGAAATAATGTTGATTGAAGGGTATTTCAACGAAATAAACTCGTAATCAACGTTTTTCAACGTCATTTGCCTGGAGGGACCACTACAAAAACACTTGTAATTATTTACGTAAAAAGGCAAGTCCGTACAAATTATATATCCATACGTTAGTGCCTTTGCTGAGTCTGACAATTTTTTATTCATTGCTTATGACATTGATGCAGCTGGAACTTTATATTTCATGTAACTTCCTGAGATAAAAAGGAATTCATGTATTCATATGAGCCGCGTTGATAAGCTTTCCAGTAAGTAATTCTTTTCTCGATAAACATCAGTCGCTATTTTGCAAAAGCAACTTATGCTGCGGCCAGCTCATTAGGTCCTGCCAACATCCAAACGTGCGGTAGCCGTTAGCAACTACATTCTTTGCACATGTTGAAGCCTTTACCCTACCGCTTAAAAATAAGCAAGGAAAAAGCAGCTTAAAAATAAATTCATCCTTAATGAAGAAAAGGCCGCTTTGAACCAGTGGGCCAGATAGGGGCATCCTATCGCTAATGCCTTTGACTAAACTTAATAATGGTTAAAATAGGTATATATAAGGACTTCATTAAAATTTGAATCGATGTTAATACACAGAATTGTAGGTATTAATTTTTATCATCAAAGATTTTTTTGACCTAGGAGAAGGCTTGCCGAAAGAGGCCAGTTGTGCATGAATGCCAAAGTATCAATAAAATATAATTTGTCTACGATATTAAACAAACTAATAAATTAAAATCAATCGCTATTACAATTTCTCAACAAAAAAATAGAGAATGGATTTTCGTTCAATTCCGTCAAAAATTAACCATGCATTTAGAACACTTTATTCGTGTAAATCGCTATTATTTTGCAAGTGATTGCCGATGTACAATCTCTAATTAAAACTAACTGACCATTGATTATCGTTTTTTCTAATTTTATTTTACCTAAAACCAATTCTAATTATTTTCATTACTAAGCTTGAATAAATCTGTACTAAATTTCACGTAGGTCTTTCAGGGCAGTGTATGTAATTTGAACTGTGTTATCGAGGAGACAACGACTCTCGGAAAATATGAACAACTTTCCCCACTACTGCGTTTGTTTTGTAAAGTTTTTGCGATGAAACTTGAATAGAAATCGAGGAATTTAATCCGGGATAATGAGGGTTTCGGATTCATTCAAACAGCGAGCGTGAACCGAAAACCATTTCATGATGAGGAAAATTTGAGATTCCAATCTGCATAGTTTTACATAGATAATCCCTGCAGTACAAATAGACTGAGAAACTCTTACTGTACAACATCATACGTTTATTTATGTAGGTGCAAAATCATATTTATGCCGTTTAAATATGATGACAATCTTGTGGATAACAACAGATATAATTCATTTATTTGGAAATTTTATCCGTGACATCTGACGGTAAGATCGCGAATCTATATATGCAATTTTAAAGTCAGAATTGAACGCGAATTCAACGTTGAAACAACGTTGTTGGGAGACTTTCCATCTCTTCACAAACTGACGTCTCCCCTGACACATCACACGTGATCGTTCTTCACTCAGTTTTTCTAAACCAAGGATTTCCTTCAATGAATAAACAGTTCTAAGTAAATATAATTAACAATGAATAAATAGAAACAAAACACAAAATACATAACACCCTAATTCTAATCTAACTTAACCGTGTGTTTTCATCACTCTCAATTTACTTCACAAATCCAATAATCGAGACCAAATATTAAGTTTAAATATTGAGTTCAGATATTGAGGTCTTCCTGAAATAGAACAAAAATAGCGCTTGAAATAACTAACTAGAGAATGAATATATAATAAAAAATAAATTAACACGCAAAAATAATCAATTACACGAAACGATTCACTTCTAAAATTGAACAATCACAAATATAATCGCAGAGTTATCGATAAACGTGCCTCCACGGCGAGAACACTTGATACAATGGTAGACAAACCGCAATACTGCTGGAGGTCACGGCTAAGGTGATTGAAAACTGAAAATGAAAAACCAAAATCCTAATACCTAATATATTGCAACTTATATATTTTATCTAAAGCGATAAATCTATAACCTCTACAAAGTCGAAATGTACGACGTTGGAAAATTGACGTTGCTTCAATTTTCTTTCTAAACTAATATTCAACGTTAATTCAACGTCGCTAATTTTCTTGTTTCGATGTTGATTCAACCTGACATGGCCTGCTGATAACGTATAATCGTTGACGGCTTTAAATAAATTACAGTTAATGGTGCCAATCTAAGTATTAAATACATGTAATGTTCAGATGAAAACATAAAATCTATTAAAGTTTTCGACTCACGCTAAAAAAAAGTTGCAAATCTGCACATTTAAATAAGTTTTTACCGCGTCTTAACATTTCATGTCAGTCAACATTCGATTGTGTAAATTTCAAGCTCCTTTAACAATTATTTTTTTTTCTGAAAAAGTTTTAAATCTATTTGAACTTAGGTTTAATTTTATTTATTTCGAAGTTAAATCAGACGTTATCACTCCAGCAATGCAAGCGCACTGGCGTGGCATCAATTGATGAATGTTGTTAAATCCTTTAGCCGATAGCGTACAAAAACTTTCTCTTCAGCATGAGCACAAACTTGCCAAATCTGCGCCATTACACACACAATTCGAACGTTCCTACAAGCTTGCGTGTCAGTGACTGGAATGAGTGAATTTGCTTGAGAATTCGGAAAATTTGTCTCCACTTCAGAAACTTTGAATGAACGCTGTCCGCTTCAGAAACTACAAATGTGCACCGCGCGCTGGAAGTTCCCTTCAATCATTGATAACGGCCAAGCTTGAATAATTCTCGATCCGTCCAGGCTTTCACGGGAGCAATCATCGCCTGGAAATCGCGTCTGTAGTCCCTTAAATGTGCGTGCTATGCAATCGAGACCCATCGTCTTGGAAGCAAAACGTTTTTGCGACAGTCGTTTGATCCTCGGGAACGTTTCCAGAACGATCGTTCTTGGGGGCTATCGTTTCCCAAACGGCTATCTGATTGTGCGAATCGCTTCCATCCGCAATACCGGAAATCACATATTTTACTATCTTCTAGTGGGGTAATGGCATTGTGAAATGGCTCTGAATGGCATAAAGCGGCTACGACTGGCTTCGCAAATGCTCCTAAAATGTTTTCCCCTGAATGGACCCTGAAAATAAAATTAGGTACAATTATTCTGGTCGCTAACCAGATGGGGGAATGCACTGAATATTGTAATTCTGACTTGCAAGTGTAAGACTGAAATTTTCGTGACTTTTGACGAAGAAAATGAACTCGTGGATTCTAGCTGCAACCATGTGAGTTGAGTTTCAGAACAATTTAACATTTGTTACTTATTTTTAAAAATGTTTCGCTAGAAAGCATAGAATTTGACTTGATACCCAAAATAAAATTTTTGGTGGAGCATCGATGATTATTGGTGGCTAATAGTGGAAATTATAGGTGGAGCACCGATGGCGCATCGCTGCGGTATCGATGGAATGTGCGGCATATGTTCCACCTAAAACCTGCCGATGGCCATCCTAGCCGAAAACTCTTCTTCCATCAATAACTACCCATTGGCACCGGTGGCGCATCGATGAGCCAACGATGGCCACCTTTAAAATTAATTCGATCGAAAAAATTTCGTTAGTTTCAAATCCGATGCATTTGCATTTGCTGATATTGCTTTCTGACGACTACGGATGCACATCAACCATGGCAGTACAAGTACCAATATGTCAGACATGTAGCAGGAACAAATTATCACAGTACCATAAAAATACCTCGTGAGAAATCGACTTGAAGAAAAGCCCTTACCTGCAGCATTTGAACTCCATTCTAGAAGCCGAGCCTCTACCGTTGAGCCATCGGAGAGAACTTGGCATTCGAGTCATTTCAAGAAACTTAATAGAAGTATTACAGGTATTAATTTTATCAAATGGCGAAAGTTAATGCTATCACCGTGATGATTTTGTGGATCCAGGAACCATTTTATTTGAACATGCTGCTATATTCGAGTACACAGCCGCTGAAAGAAATTTCGTTTATCCATAACGAACGATAGTTCAGCTCAGAGTAAAGACTATGGGAAATTGCTTGATAAGTATAGAAGTTTCATAATGTGAACATGTCACCACCAAATTTGACATGGGTTCGATTCGAAATATTTTCGCCAATAATATTTTTGTGTGAAATAAGGAATTGATATCACTCGATGCTTTTGAAATGTTAGGCGGGAGATACCTACACCAATTCGTGTCAATATTTTTCTCAAGCCCAATCTATACTTTTTTGCGTAAGAAATATACCGAGACTAATTTATTAAAAATGGGGATTTAAACTTAAAATAACTATCTGACGGTAAAAGAAGATTACCCATAAATAAATATATTTTACTATTGAAATCAGCGACAGAAAACTAAATTTTCACCAATTATGTAACGCATATAATCTATTTGCGGTTGATTATAAATAATCGATCCTGTTTATTTCATTTGAAAGTAGCTCCATAAAAAAATGAAAACTACAATATAAATGTTGGCATGCAAATTAATATTATATTTGATTTACATCACAAAAATGAAAGCCTTTGCATTAAAAACAGGACATAGAATAGCTGGAACGCTGTTTAACAGGTGATGTGTACAAAGCATTTCCTTTGCTCACTTTAATAGAGAGCTTGCACCGCACTCGATGTTTTACGCGTAAGTATACCGACAATTGCTTAATTTCGCATGCCGCGCACGTGCTGGACGTATGGTACGATTGAAAACTGTGCGTTGAAAACTTGGAACTCAAAATTCAGTACTTAATGCAAATACAGTCATGTTATAATCGAATTGTCTTTTGAATAATGCAAATACTGTACATCTATGTTATAATTGAACTGTATTTTTAGTGATGCAAATACAGCTCTGTTATAATCGAATTGTCTTTTGTTTGGTAACTAAATAAATGTTACAAGCGCTCGAGCATGGCCGCTCGAGCATGGCCGCTCCAGCTGGAATCTCAAAATAAAATGATGATATACGAGTATATCTGAACAAGTTTGAGAAAGAAATTTGATCACTTCTCTTTCAATTACAGTTTAAGGTCAAGGAGTTGCGGAAAGCGAAGTAATCTTTAAAATCGTCATCCTATAATAACACATCCAACTGGTACCACTGACACGACTTCTCTACACTACTCTGCACTACTCTTCACTACTCTGCACTACTCTGCAGTACTCTGCACTACTCTGCACTACTCTGCACTACTCTGCCTTACTCTGCACTACTCTGCACCACTCTGCACTACTCTGCACTACTCTGCACTACTATGCACTACTCTGCACTACTCTGCGTTATCACAGACACGAACTGCTACTAATTTACAGATCAACGGTCCAGTGGTACCAACACTAATACGACACGCGGGTGCAGCGAACTAGCGTTTTTCATGTGGATGTCGTATGCTTTTTATTGCACGGAGCAGAATTCGTTTCGAGCAGAGAGACGTGGCACCTGCTCTGGACGAGAGAATTTAACCTGCGGTGGCTGGTCCAGATTCTTACAATGTCTGCAAGCTTGAGGAACATGAGAATTATTATGAAATTTGTGCCTCAGCCCATGACGTGTGAATATTTTTATGAACAAGGGCAGCGACGGTCTTGATCTCTCGAAACTAGTAGAGATGCACGGAACATAATCGTGCATAGAGCAGACGGCGCGTAGTGACTGGGTGTCTAAAATAGATGTGGCAGATAAGTGGTAGCGAGACTAACAATTTAGAGTAATATAAATGCTAGGATGCAATTGAGTAGTTGCTTATTATTTTGTAACTTAACATAACGCTTATGTGTGAGGCCGTGCAATTTTTCATTCTATTCATTCTATGAATAAACGTATTTTATTAACACCAAATCAGAATACCGTTAAAAGTGAATTCTGGGTGAAGAAGTAGATCATAAAAAACGGGTGAAAATTGCAGAGCCTTTGTTTATATAGGAACGAAATTACCATGAAAGTTATAAATTCTTAGCAATTCCATTTTATATATTCATGAAATATTAGAGTCATAACAACGTTTTGTGGCAAGCATACAGCTCCACGAAGTTAAAAATAATGCACATGTGTTTCTGAATTACTTCTGAGACGAAAATGTAATCGCAGTTTATTATATATTAAAAATATAAATTAGGTTCAATGTGATGAAGTATGTTTAGTCGTTATTGGCGATTATTGCATGTCCAGTTTGAAATCATTCGTTCGTTAAAAAATGAAATTACGCAGAACTTGGCGATCCTCTTGATAGAAGATTCACAATCAATGCCAACATCGATAATTGCATCCCATTCAATTCGAAACATTTTAAATGGTGATCGGTAACACGAATTAGTGTGTCGTTTTTTCTGCTATGTTCTGTTTTCTTTTTTCGTTCATCCCGCAAGTGTTTTCTTGAAGATTTGATGGGACGTTTTCTCAAGATAGCGAACTATGTGTAGATGTAAATTTTCAATTATTTACCTTCTCATAAATCTCTGAGTGATTAACACATATTGACTCCGAAAAGGTTATGAAGCAATCCCCTCGTTTTCATCATATTATTTATTATGAATATCTTCCACGACAAACCATAAATGCTTTCAGAATGACAAGTGGTGGGAAGGTGCAGCGCTGCATTCTTCTGACCTTGGCTGCAGTACAAACTCGGAAATGTTGTTTTACCAAACGTGATTCAATTTCCCGAGCTCTTCACATGTCTGAAAGCCTTGCTACCTTTTGACAAGACAAGTTTTGGGAGGCGTATTATTCACACTCGGATTTGCAATAGGAATAGAATACCGGAATCCATTATGTCAGACGCTGCCAAAACGATGCGATATGAAGAATTTTTTTTTTTGCTTCGCGGATGGGCTTAAATTCATCCCATGAGCTCCGCAGGTACAGACCAGTGGGAACTGACATTTCTAAGAAACTTCTTTACATCGTTGCACATGATTGTTTTTTTTCGTGGGCTGCTTCGAAATTGAACATTATTGAAAATTTCAATTTTTAAATTAAAGTTTCAGAAAATATTTAGTTTTGGCCATAATATAGTATCTTTTTACAATTCTTGCATCTTATTTCGCTGCTTACGGTTCGAAAGCTCATATTTTTTACTAGGTTCCATTTCTGCACGGCTGCATCCTCCTAAAGATGTTAGATTCCCTCTAAAGTCAGCAAAATCTCGAAATCTAATAGCGTTAAAACACCTACAGGAATGCTGGCGCTAATTAAATAAAGGGCATTTCTTGGATAGCTCGCCTCAGGTGAAGTCTACGGAATTTACTCCTAGTATTTAATTTACTTGGAAGAAAATTAAAATTCACTACATCCAGAAAATTTATTTGCACTGGTTTTATTTTTACTGGAAAGTAATTGTGTTCCCTTTTAATAGTTGCTATGAACATTAGTTGTTGGATTGGGGGAATGGTTTCTGCTACGATGCTCTAAGGTTAAGGTGAGACGGTTTTGAAAGACAGATTCGTTGCTGTTCAAACCTAATTAAGATTAAATACTGTCCACATTAAAAGGAATAATATATTACGCATTATTTTTTTCTAACAAAAAGGTTTTTTCTTATTTAGTGAGTCACATAGGGTTCCGCATGTTTTATTAATGAAAAATATTGCGATAAGTTTCATTTTGAACTCAAGTGGCCGTTTGAAATTGGAAAAATGTACAAAATTGGAACAGTAACTTCTTTTTTAACATAAATTTTATGTGTATATTTTTTGTTTTGGTAATCCCATAATATGTTTAATTTTATTTCCCTGCATTATTACCACCACTCATATGACTCCATAATATATATAACAAATGACAGGTTTCTATTGATATTTTATCCATCCTCTAGAACTGAGTGAAGCTACGAACCCAGCGATGGCATCACCCTCATCACCATCACCTTCAGTATCCCCACTGGTAATGGTGAGCATCATCGTGGTGGTGGCGATGCTGGTTCTCTCCACTATTGTGGTGATGGCCGTCATCAGATGTCACCACAAGAGGAGGGCTCAGAGGCTACGTGAAGAAACTGAGACGATTGGTGAGTCTGGACAAAGGAAAAAAATATGAGAGCTTGTAATTATGTACGGATGACAATAAACATTTCCTGTATGTGCAGTGAGATCCGGATAAAAGGGAAATGAGTTTAACTAAACAACAATAGAAAAAACGGTTCTTGAAATTCTTCTTAAATCTCAACAGTTTCTCGTGTTTCATCTTTGGTTTTCAAGGATTTGATGACGAGGAGAATTTGGCGAAAACGTAAAATTCAAGACAATATTGAACATTGCAATTACCTTGACGATAAATATTGCAGAAAACGGTCACTCAACCATCATTTAAGAATCAAGGTAATAGGGAATGCAGTCTTTTCACATTTTTAATTGAATTGAATTTCCGCGTAGCGTCACTATAGGAGTAAGCATTTTAAAAGTTTAGGGCTCGTACTAGTGCGTTTTCGAATTGGATTGAGAATGTGTGCAATAGATAAAGACTAGTGCAAGAGTTGATCAATTTAGTCTCCAAAAAAGGATTACTTTCAATTTAATATGAATGAAAAATCTTGAAACCTATTTTGCGCTACTAACAAAAGATGCGGTCCAGTTTAATGTTGCATCTCATCTAAAGCTCACTGTTAATGACTAAGAGCCGATAGTTAATTAATTCAAACGACAAGCTCTATTTGTAGAGTATGAGAATAGTTTTCAATCAATTGAAGGTATATTCGTATCCTGCTAAATATAAATAAATTTCTAATTATGTACGATACATGAGCTACCATATTAAATTGACGCTAAAAAATGTGTAATCATATCTTGGATTAGTGATTCTCATTGTACTCCAGCAACAGCAGGCAGCCGAAGCAGCGGGGGGTCTCAGTACAGTCCTACGTCAGTCCACTACACCGGGACTCTGTTAGCTCAACAACAGCAACATGTACAACAGAAACAGCAGCAGACAGATCAAGAGCTGCAACATCGACAGTCGGCATCCATGCAGCCAATTCCCAATGAAGAGACCATGCAAATAAAGCCCGAGAATACGATGGGTCAGCATCAGCTGTCATCCATGCTCCCTCTTAATCACCCACAAATGTATAAAAAGTTTATGAAAATCGAGGAATGTTCTGCGTTAGGACAGCTACGCCACTCACCTCTTCAGGGCGAAGATTTTTTACAGCGTCATTTGGTGCAGAAAGAACTTTGCGATCATTACCGACAACAGCAACATCATCATCAGCAGCATCAGCTGCAGCAATACAAGTCCGAAAACTATCAGAAACTGCAGCATGAGAGGCCAATTGACGCTGCAGCTGCTGCTCAAGCAGTCTGTGGACTCACTGACAAGCAAGTGCCACCGTGTACAGCTGAAGGTAAAAAAATATTCACTTCAGGTAGTTTTCTGTCTCGAGGCAACATAAATGTCAATAAATGGTTACGTTCCTCACACTACTTGAAGAGGTGAAAAACATGCAGACAAGTTAATCGAACTCTCACACCTCATTAGGGCGATTCCTATTTTTGCTGCGATTGTGATTTAGATATTTTGTGCAAACTTAGCTACGATTCGAACATAGATATGAATGAAAGCTAAAAACTCAGCTTAAAGAAAGAATAAAAGAATTTTGCCTCTTTTTTAATTAATAGTCAAATCGTTTAATTAATAGTCAAATCAAAATCAATAGTCAAATCAAATATTCAAAATTAATAGTCAATCAAATTTAATTAATAGTCAAGTTAATAATCAAATCAATCACTCGTACTCATACAGCTGGCAGCAGAGAATATCACCTGGAAGAGCTACGCGTTTCTCTCGCTTCCATCGATGGTCAGCACAACTTTTCTAGTCAGATACCAAAGCAAAATTTCCCTCCTCAGTTCCAAATGTGGCCAAGTTCTTTGGATGCTTCAACCGTACCAATAGTAGCTCCCATATTTTCATCTAGCAACTCCTCACTACTGCCTTATCAATCCTCCTTCGATCAACATACTTTGCCAAGACTGAGGCACCAACTTCAGAAAACTTCCCAGCCGATGAAGGATCAGACTCAACGAAGATCCAGAACGCCACCTCCGTACCTCAGTATGACGGTGAGACTAGTATTGAAGACATCCACAATCAATGGAGTCGTGCGTAATCAAAGCCACTATTAAAAATTTGTATATATTGGCATGGTAACTTTCCTGGAAACATGCATCATTTTTAAGAATCTTTGTTGCAGGAAATCCAACATTTCAAACTCCAGCCAACTAATGAATTTCACTTTGAATATCATCGCTGGAGACACGATTTCCTTTCTCGGTCGCAATGCCGGCGCACAAGTGAGGTCCACTTTTAGCGAGATGGATTGTGGGAGCCATGAAGTTTATTGTTTTTAAGAGCAGTTCTCAAATTAAACAGAGGGCTTGTGAGGACCTTGAGTTGTGTTAGGGCTGGCACTCAAACCGGCACTTCAATAACTTCGGGCGTCTAACTTTTCTCAATGTATTAAGCTGGCTGCATGGAGGTTCTTACGTTAGGGGGGTGGTTGTACCTTGGCGGCATGTGATGATGATGTGATGTTCACATCATGAGTATGGGGCGGAGGTTTGTGATGGGGACATGGGCCTCTTACGTTCCGCGTTTATGCAACGCAGGGGTATTAATGCGTTCAAATTTAATGGATATATGCAATGAATAATTCAGCTCTAATATGAATAATTTCGCTCTAATTATATATGAATGGGCAATGATCAATGCCTCAAAATAAATTTATAGTTCTATAATTATTGAACTATTAATTACAGTATGATTCATGATTATGAGAACTCCTTCTAAACGTAAATTGCTTACGGAACCGACGAAGAAACTGAGTAACCGTCAAATCGTTGTATGGTCTTTAATATATGAAGAGTTTCTCCTCGCTGATCACTATTATGGTATGATCACAATCTTGTCTGAAGCCTGAGTCCTTGAGTTTGCCTTTGGTATTCGCCTGGTATCCAGGGCTTCAATTACCCATAGTTTATTGTTAATACAAGGAGCTTACATTAGAGCAAGGGCTGTAAATAGTTATTTATAGAACAGCCATATTGGCGGGCTCACCATGCGTGCGCGGATGCTGCAGTCCAGAGCGGCGTGAGAGGGAACGGACTGGTGGAAGATATTTTCACCGAAATTATTATCTCTGCAGACTTTTTTATCGCCAACTCCTATCACGTGGAAATAAAAACAGGCCGCTGGTTTCTGTGGTATGTAGATCGCGTTGTTATATATGGTGGAAGAATTTTCTAGAAATAGTTCTATTTCACTTCTATTATGTTCATAAGTTAATTTCAACATAATTTATGGAGAAGCAGTATGTAACAAGTTTGATATGTCTCGACTACAAATCACACACTATCCTTTTTCCAAATTGTCTTCTCAACTCTCCATGCTACTGCTCCGCCTACAGACTTTAAATTAATAACTAAAAATCAAATGAGAAGCAAGTTCGGTTCTCACTGTCAGTTTCCACTGATGTTTATCATAAGTTCGTCAAATAAACATGAACGACAAGAAGCAATATTTATGACGAGATATAAATAAAAAATCGTTCTCGTGTAAAAAACATTTACAAATTTACTCCAACATTACTATAATTAATTTTTATACTTTTATTTATTTTTCCAAGTCTCCAATAACCGTTCAATGGGCATTTTCAGGAATGCATTTAATTAATTTAATTTAATTCATTTCCCACCAACTCATTAACCGTGTCCGCCGTTCTGCTCCCAAACGCCATGGCCGTATTTCAAGAGAGTAATCGAGCTCGCTGCAAATAAGTCATCGCTAGGCTTTAATGGTCCTGAAGTCGAATTATTTCATTCGCGTCACTTCTGACGTCCACGCAAGCTTTGCGTCTGTGCACGCCAAACCTGGAACAATTTCGAAGCGAAATTTCCAATAATATTTTATTATTTGTATATTTTATGGTGGAAATCGTAACCAACCACGCATTCCATTCAATGTGTTATCTTTATTACATTTATCCCAACTCGATGAAGATTTCTTTCAATTTCACTCGTGCGTGGCCCCTCGTTCGTGTGTGTTCCCTCGTTCGTGCGCGGCGCTTCTTTCTTCGTGCGAGCAACTTTCTGAACAGACGACCTCGCAGTCCGACTTCCTCTCGGCCAACTTATTCAGCAATTTATTAGGCCCTTACGTAGCCCTACTCGAGAATCTAAGGAATGTAGCCTCAATTGCTGCAAATCAGATGAAATGGGCAGATTTGGGGAGAGAGTCTGAAAATCTCTGATTTTAGGAAAACTTTTCTTAGATAGTTCATTTTCTCTAAATGTTCTGTGATCATTAAAAGGTCGCACTGGAGTGCTTCGAAGGCTCTTAAGGTCACATTTTTCAGGTTTTAGACTAGCCGATATAATTTCATCTTGCACAAAAAGTCGCGCCTGCTTTCCCCGGCACGAAGTTATTTAATCACCAAAAAGATGAGATTTTTTACGGTCACTCAACCATTTTACTCAAATCCTACTTTGCAAATGTCACGAACTTTTTATTCTTTCAAACCGGTGAACTTTAGCAGGAAGAAAACATTTTTTCTGATTAATCTGATCGTTCGTGACCCTGCTCCTAAGATGTATTTTATATTGGCAATCGTTTTAAGCGTGAATGCAATTCAAGAAAGACATGGGTCCCGGTAAAAGCAAATTTTTCATGCCTAAATTCAAATTTATTTGATATTTTTCATGTTCATTGCAGACGCAGGGGCCTTTCGGATCAACAGCGAGTGAGTCAGGTAGCCTTCAAATTCCTTCACCTACGCCTACGTATACACCTCCAGAGGCTTTCATGGAAGGTACATCCTGCCAGAATTCAGTGCGAGAAAGGAGTGCGTGCAACCAGGCAGATAATTGGGTAAGCTCTTCGAATGGAAGCAAATCAGAGGCCTTTGACGCCTCCATGCTGCCTGATCACTTGCCCAGCGTCCAGGTTAACCCTGGTGATCCTTTGAACCGTTCTACAATGCCATACGTCAGTCCTATTGAAAAGATTAACCATGGTGATACTCTGAACCGTTCGACAGTGCCACGCGTTAGTCCTATTAAAGATATTCAAATTTCAACTTCTGCCCTGGCTGGCAAATATAAATCCTCTACCCCGATGTCCAAATCAGATGCCACAAAACCGCACGATGAATTAAAAAGTTCAGCCAGCAGTGACCCTTCCGAGGGTTCACCGCATGGATCAGTTGATACAATATCTGGTATGAACTCAACGACTGGGCGATATCTTACAGCTAGCAAATCATGTAATCATCCATCTGAGCCACTTCATTGTGAGGATAGTGTTCACGTTCCTCAGAAGCACCATCATCATCACCATCACTCGCGCCACCAAGAACCACCGCAACCCAAGTATCCCAAAATACAGCACCAACCACACAGCATGTGCGAGCAATCACAAGAAAATGTATCGAATTTGATATCGCAAGAGTCAAAAGTGAGTAATAATCTTCCAGTGAATAATATAATGTGCCACTGTCAGTCCCAAAGTGACGTAGAAGATAAAAGAAGGAACAAAAAACTATTTTCGCAAAACCCTGATCGCACCAGCGCTTCTGAGAGCTCCGTATAGCGAAGAGATTTGTGTTCAATGCGTTTTCAAGATGCGCTGCAAACTAGCAGTGTACACTAAATACCATAAGAACTGCTCTACAGTAATATAGTGTACACTAAGTACTATGAACTGCTGTTAATTACCGGTTAAACTATTTTTACCTAAGTTAAATGAGAGTCTGTCGTGCTGCAATTCGAGCTGCATGATGCTCGACGTTAGTTGTCGTAACACTTCATTTAAGGCATTGACTTCTCCTTAAATTGATTCGTCACAAGCGTATTGTAAGCATGTTATGGTTGTTTGATCGTGTACTGAATATTGTCACAAATGAGATGTTTTTCACAGTACAATACAATGGAATGAACTCGTTATGATTCCTGCTACATCTTTTTCACATTCATCATCTCTAGGAAGTTCATTTGTTACTCTGAGGGAAATAACGACTTAAGTTAACTTTATTCAACATTTAGCGTATTTTTCTATTGCGCGGTGTATTTTATATGAAACATTATCAGCGTTGATTGTAAAAGTTAATTGAAAGTTAACGAAAATATTAATACTATACTATATTGAAAATATAGTTACATTAATACTGAAAGGTAATGAAAATGAAAAGTTAATGAAAGTTAACTTATGAATAAGTTAAAGAAAATATTTATATACCATATTGATGCGCAGTTTTCACGGCACTCTTCATAGATTTTCTAGGATCAACACACGTATTCTGAGCTCAAAATTTGTCTCATCATTTTCGTGATGTAATAGTCATATGTATTTATTTTGTACATGATGCATTATTTGTCCCATATAGACTAGTAAATGATCAATAACTACGTCGTAAAGAAATCTCAAAGAAGAAGTTACTCTGCGTATAAATGAGTGTGTATGTCGATGAGCCAAATTTTCGTAGTTTATTCAACAGACTTAGGAACTTATCAGTTCCTATGGGCGTTCGGAACGTGAAATTTATTTGTGAATGTACTCGAATAAATCTTTCAAGTCATGGAAAACGGAATAGTGAATATCACTGAAAAACTTGTTTCGACTTATAAAGTAGGTAGTTTTTAACAATGGGACAAGACATTTCCGTGAAGACTATTTTGTCGAAAATGGTGTCCAATCCTTTATATCTTTCCAGTCGCCGTTTCGAAAATTTTCAATTAATTTTCAAACTTGGTCTCTATTTGAGCTGTGGCGTTGACTCAAAACGCCATACGATATAATTTGAATGGATTTTCATACTTGAAATGAAAGAGCGTGGACTGTTGGAAACTCTGCTAATGGAGACATGAATTCTGAAACCCGCTGTTTTTTATTTGTTTATTTTTATTCAACTAGCCTCGTTTTTTAATCTTTATTTATGATGTGTAAATGTTTACCAAAACTAAAGCATATAGTCTCTGTTATCCCTAACGGGTATTTTGTTTTTCCCTAACTACATAGTGATTGAGACATCAAGAAATGTCTGTCGAGAAAAAAAAACGGTGAAACAATTTATAATAACTTGGTGCTCAACGATGACGTATTGTAACTGAAGATTCAGATGGTGATTGCCTGCAGGATGTGAAAACTTTCTGCTGGACTTTCTGGCGCAGGCTTCAAGACATTTAATTTTCTGCTCATGACCTGGACAATTTATCTCCATTTATAGCTCATAATTTTGTTTGGGCTCACTGTGGCTGCTATGAAATTCCAGTTTTGTTGCCTCTTTAACGATATAATAATTTTAACTTAAAGTGCTGAACTTTGCAACGCCAAAATTTTTCTAATACGCTAACAAAAATTATGAAAGAGATTTGGCAGAAATATAAATATTTTCTTGAAAAACTAAAGATTAAAACTTCAGTAACTTTTGTTTGTTATGTTGCACAAAAGTCGTTAAAGGAATTAGTGTTGATATTGAAAGCTATGAAAACTTCAAAGAAGATTTGCCAAAATGTTCCATGAATGATGAATTAAATTATGCTAAATATTTAGAGTCCTATATGCTAAGAAATGATGTTTATAGGTACGAAATTGACTATTATAAGTTTATTTTGTGATACCCAAATATAACACAGTATTTTCTCAACTTTCAGGGACATTCCCGTAATTCATTGAATTTTAAATCCCCAAGCCGTTTTCCTAGCCCATTTGCAAACGGAGTTTTTTATGTGCTGGTTCAGTGTGCTGAAAAAAAAAACATTCCTTGCACATAACGCACGAAATTATTCTAAGGTATAATATTCGTATGCTTCCTAATCACTGTCGTACCAGTGTAAGCAGTTCATGGAGATTTTTGAAACTATTTTTTCCCGATGCTCAGTTAGAATGTCGAATATTACTTTAGTTAAATATATATATACTGTATATATATATATATAAAAATGCGCTAAAAAGACTGTAAAGTTACGAAATATTTGAATTTTCGTGTGCAGAATTTGGATAAAGATTTTAACAACCCTCATCTGGTGTATGTTTACCGTCCCTTGAACCAAGATATTGATTTCGACGAGAAGGCGACGTCCTGTCGCATTAGGAAATAAATTATTCATGAATTTTCTGAGCCCGCGATAAGGTTTTGAAAATTCTAAAGCCCATATGTTCGAATTAAAAAATAATATCAAACACGTGCATAGGGGATGATCGGAAGCAAATCAGTTGCCATGATATTAATAATAATATAATAGTCTGATGTCATACCATTAATTCTTATCCACTTGGCACTTATTTTGACCACAGGCAGACCATAAACAGCTACAGACAACAAGCACCCGTTGACTGTTTGTTGACAGTTGACAAGCACAATATGACTGCCATGTCAACGTCGCCGTCAATAATTGATCTGTCAACCGCTCCATGATATTCAGTTTCCTTTCATGAGCTTCCATAGGAGACTTTTGCTGAATTTTCAGCTCCTAAGGCGTAATTTTGGAGTGTATCTCTGGAAGCATTTTGGGTAATTCTTGCACCTGAAACTTACCAGAATAGTTAAAGTTTGCGCGGCAGACCAAGCTGCAGGCGTGTTCAGCTGCGCCTCTAGGATTATCTTCAGGACTTTGCCGAGCCTTGCGATGTCCAGGATTTTCAAACGTGTGAACTGGCTTCAGCCGCTTTCAAATTTTTTGTTTTTCAAGTCCTTTATTACAAACACATTCATACACGGTTCAAAGTGACAGAAAAAATAATATGCTATTTATAAATCGAGCTATGTTTAATATTTTTATCTACAAAGGGCTATTTTGTCAGTTTCATGCCTAACAAAATTCAAGGCATGCTTCAGCCTCCGCCCCAGAGTCGCTATGCTCGCGTTAGAGTTATTCTGGGTCAGTTGGCCAACTGACCGCAATCAGCGACTAGTCAAAACCTCCTGGCCGACTTTACAGTCTCCTGAGAGTAGAGCAAGAGTTGGCAGAATAAGTACCAGGCGCTGGTAGCTGTCTGATTCGGGGACCGGAATGTAGACCGAAAAGCGGACTATAGGGAAGCTGTTGGACTATGCTCCCCGAGTCCTATGCGTTACTTAATCCAGAGCCACCCTCGACTCTAAATTTAGTTAGGGATGTTAGATTCACATCCCATACTACACCGTTTTCTTTTTTACGAAGCTTATTCAAGTTTTTAGTTTATCCTTCTTATAAAGAAATTATCACTAATTAAATTACAAGTTAAATAACAAATGTGGTTCTACTAATCCAAATTCTACAACTTTTGCAAAAGTCTTTGGCGGTAATTAATACAAAATCAATCAACCCTTTTCTGAGGTTTAGAACTGAACCAAGCGATTTTTCAAATGCAACTGATGAAAGTCAAGGCGTTCTTGCAGCTGCTTTTTGACAACATTTTGTGAAACAACAGGAAAATATGGCATAAATTTTATGCTGCGGTGTCATCATGGCAGTTTGCAGCCACCACTTTGGTCGGACGATGAGAGCGCGGCATTTTTATGCGGCCATCTGCATGTATCCGATCGGCCCTAAAGACAAGCTTGTTATGCGCGCTCGTCAGCAAGCTTATCCTAAGTTGTTTCCGTAAATATACGGCTTCTCGGCCTAAGTTGTGTATTTGCTCTGGTCTGGCTTAGGCTTACGTACGTCTAGCTTAGGCCTAGTTTAGGCTGCTCCAGGAACGCTTCAAAAGTTTGCTGAAAGTTAGAGCGGACGCTACGTAAATTATGAGGAGAATTAAAGGAACTTTGCCTCAAGAGCGCGTAAATTGGAGGCTTGTGATGGAATATAGTATTGCTAAAACAGGGACTTCTCCGCAAATGATTAGTGTAATTTGCAAAGATTGAATCGATGATACATTGCACTCAAGCTATTCTTTGTTACTAGGACTTCCGCTTTTTCGTCACTAGCATCATGAGATGAGCCGTTTTATTTGTTGATGCTAAGTCAAGATAATTACTAAATGATGGTGAACAATACTGTATACCAATCAATTCCCTGACATGCGGCGTGCTTAGTTACGAAATGTTATAATATATGAGTTCGCTCACCAATAAGGTTGAAAAATGAATCGACTCCCCCCAACGCGACATGAAGAGGGAAACTGAACTGATTCCGTTTGACTGAGACTCTGTGCAGTTGTTTGTAGTTCATGCAAAGTAGTTTCCACATGCTTACATCTCAGTCACAGACGGGTGTAAAACATAGTATCGATACGGTCATTTATTGCTCTCTGAAAAAGGAAACTGCCTAATGGATCATCTGAATTTGGTTGATAGCAAATTTAATGCGGGTGAAAACGAAAAAAATTTATTTCTAATATTTTCAGCATAATATTGCTTCAGCATTTCAGTTAAATCCTGTTTTAACACGGAAATTTCAACTGATATTCAGATGTTATTAGCGATGAGCACAAAAGACATGACGAAGACATGACCATGCTCTTCGTTGCATAAATTAGAAATATTACACATCGCATCTGCCGGTACTGTTCAATTTAAATATCGAATAACTTCTTCGGTTATTGTTTGTTTCAAAATATTTATGACTACTGCTTGACCATAGCTTGAAGTACTAAAAAAAAAGAATCGCAAATCTCTGAGCAAGTAAAAGAAAAACAGCCTAAGCAATCAGTTGCTGTCCTGAGAAGACAAAATAACTGCGACAGTCTTCTGAACGCTGCTAAGAATCGCTGCTTCGGGACCAGTTGTGCCAGCTGCAAGAAAATAGTTTGCTGTAAGTCACGGCCCACTGGACAACTGCTGTGAACTGCCCTCTTAAGGCCTTCTCCAGAC